CATCTAGATGCTTTTTCATATACCTTGGCATTGCAAGTGCACATCTAAATGCTTCTTCAATGTTATGAGAGCTTCTGCCTCTCCCACTCTTACAGGCAGCAAGTTCCAGATCCTCACCACCCTCCGGGTGAAAATATTTTCCTTGCATCCCCTCTAAGCCCCCTGTTCCTTACCTTAAAAAAACGGTAATGTGCTTGGGAGTGCAATAGGATAACTATTTAACATGCAGCATCAACCAGAGTTAGGTCTGTTGCTGTTACACTTCCGAGTCCAAATGGTAAGACTTCAAAAGTTTCTCTATAAATTTGAGCACAAAAGCCTATTGGCCTACTGCACGGTGCTGAAGGAGTGTTGCACTGTTGGGAGTGCTGTCTTTCAAATGAGACGTGAAACCGAGGTAGCAGTCCCGATCCTGTGGTCCTGTTTTGAAGAAGAACAAAGGAGCTCTCTCTGTTGTAACCGTCCATTGTTTCTGAAACCAGATTGTTGGATCATTCGCTGATTGTGGGAGCATCCTGTGTGCAATTGGCTGCTCTGGTTCCTGTATCACAATAGCGACTACACTTTAAACTATACTTCATTGGCTGTGAATTGCTTTGGGATATATTGAGGTTGTGAAAAGTGCAATAGAAATACAAACCTTTCTTGGCCGATTCCTCAACTTCCCTTCTGTAGTGGAGGGTTTACTCTGCTGGGTTACCTCAGTCCTTTTCTGTTTCAGTCCAAATGCCCTTTAGCAACACACTGTATTATTGCAGCATGGGCATTACTGATGTACATTACTGACTCGTGGTCATTATTGGCATACAGTCATGACTGACGCATGCCTGTTATTGACATATGGGCATTACTGTAGTGTGGTCATTATTGAAGTTAGGTCATTACTGACATATGGGCATTACTGTAGTGTGGTCATTATTGAAGTTAGGTCATTACTGACATATGGGCATTACAGACATATGGGCATTACTGTTCTATGGTCATTATTGACGTACATTACTGACTCATGGTCATTATTGGCATATGGTCATTATTGGCATACAGTCATTACTGATGCATGCCCAAGACTGATACTGTATTGTGGGCATTATTGATGTACATTACTGACAAATGGTCATTATTGAAGTTTGGTCAATACAGACATATGGTCATTACTGTTCTATGGTCATTATTGTGTATGGTCATTACTGACACATGGACATTATTAATGCTGCCCATTACTGGCACATTGCTCATTGCTGATGTATGACCTGAACAACCCCGTTGGCAGCTTTCAGTCTCTGTTCTTCGTTGTGAATCGTTGCTAAATTTTTTTCTTTATTTTTTCCCACGGTGTTTTATTTTTCTTTCCCAATCCAGTTTTTGTTTCACAGCATGGCTTTAATTTATATCTTTGCTTCTCCTGCCACCCATCCCAGATCGAACGTGCTGACAAACCTATCGGACAGAGCCTTTGACAAGCCGATCTGTGAGGTGCTGTTGAATCAGAAATACTTCAACGGCATTGGCAATTACCTCCGAGCGGAGATTCTCTTCAGGTGAGGTCAAGGAAGACTACTCATTGGCTGCTACTCCTCCCAGGTCCCACCTCTCCTGTCTTCACCGGTTAGGCATGAGGGTCTCTCAAGTGGGTGTTGGGAAGAAAGTGAGGGGCACTCTGGGTTAAAGCTTGGGCAGTTGTTTGTTCGAAGCTTGAGGTTGGAATAGCTGATTTTTGCAGTTCAGAGTTCAATTCCACATCCTGCATCTGATAGGGGGCCATAGAGTACAGTTTGGAAACAGACCCTTCTGTTCAACTTGCCAATGCTGACCAGATATCCTAACTTAATCTAGTTTTGGGATAGCTGGTTGGCATGAGCGAGTTGGACCAAAGGGTCTGTTTCTGTACTGTACATCTCTTTGGCTCGAAACATTAACTCTGTTTTCTGTACCCCTATGCTGCCAGACCTGCTGAGTTTCTGTTTCTATTTCAGATCTCTACCATCTGCAGTTAGTTTGCTTTTGTCTATTGACCTAATTGACCCAGTATTACTTTGCGAAAGAGCCCAGAGCCTGGAAAGTTAGAAGTGAAACGTTAGCATCTTTTCAGCTAAAAGCCAGTGGAGATGGAAGTATAAAAGCAAAATACTGCAGGTGCTGGAAATCTGAAACAAACACCGAATACTGGAGAAACTCAAACACAAATGAAAACCGAAAGAACTGTGGATGCTGTAAATCAGGAACAAAAACAAAGTTGCTGGAAAAGCTCAGCAGGTCTGGCAGCATCTGTGAAGGAGAAAACAGAGTTAACGTTTCAGATCCGGTGACCCTTCCTCAGACCTGGAGAAACTCAGCAGGTCTGGCAGCATCTGTGGAGACAGAAACAGGGTAATGTTTCGAGTCCAATAAGACTATAGCGCTGCCTTGAATGTTGTTTGGCCTGGAGAGTTTTAGTTATGAAGGGAGATTGCACAGACTGGGTTTTTATTTTTCAGAGCAGAGGAACCTGAGTGGGGTTGGGGAGGTGCAGGAGGTTTAGTGGAGATGTGAGGAAAATATTTTCACCCAGAGGATGGTGGGAATCTGGAACTCACCGCCTGTAAGAATGGAAGAGGAAGAAACCCTCATAACGCTGAAGAAATACACTTGCAATGCCAAGGCATACAAGGCTATGGGATTAGAATAGTCAAGTGCTAGTCTTTGACTAGAATAGACATGATGGCCTGAAGGGCCTTTTTCTGTGCTGTAGACCTCAATGACTTTGGACTTCAGAACTCAGTTGGAAGTAAAATGTATAAAACATGAGGGGGGGGTGGGCAATAGCTTTGAAGAGATGTGTGACTACACTTGAAGTGGGGATAATTCCTTAATAAAGGAATTAGAGAATTTCCTGAAGAGCGAGATTATTGCAGGGCTACACAGAAAAGGGGGGAGTGGCATCTGCTGAGTTGCCCCCACAGAGGGCCGGCATGGACTCAATGGGCTGAATGGCCTCCTCTGTGCTACAACCATTCTACAGCCAATCGTTTCTCTCATGAAGAGCTGATAGGCAGTGCAAAGGTGAGTTTCCTGCCTCATCAGGCTCTTCAACACCTTGGTCAGCAGGAACTGCTGGCTAGTTAGAGGCTGGGTCCTCGTGTCCATCAGACAAGGCCAAATCCTTGAGGGGCCCAGCAGCGAGATTAACTTCAAAAAAAATTTGTCACACGGTGGAAAATGGGGGGTCAAGGAGAGGGAGATAACTTTCAGAGACCTTTCTATTGATACTCTTTCCCCAGCCTCCAATTCCGTGCCACCAATTGCCCCAGTTTGGGGCTGTTGGAGGCCCCACCCTACACGGCATGGTTTCCCAGTTGGGAAGTTATCGACCTTCCTTGGCTTCTGGGTGTGAAGGTAGGGGGCAGGTGAACCAGGTTGGGGTGGGGGGTCGCAGGTGGGGGGAGGTGAGTTAAAACTGTCGAGTGGCCAGTAATTGGCAACTAAAGGGCCTAATGGCTGTCAAACCCAGAAAGATACCCACGGACATTGTTGCCCAACGCTTAATTGCTGAGGTTGTGAGTAGGGGGTAGGTTTCTCTCCCAATTATTTCCCCTTCTTGCTACCCTCAGGGAAGGGACAATTCTCCACAGGCTGAGTGTTAATCTCTGACATAAATATACTCTTCCTGATCTTCCAAGCATGTTAGGCTGAAACAGCGTAACGGGTTCTTTAAGATCTGATCAAAATGAATATAAGAAGATGCATGCAGTTTAATATGAACTAATTTATTAGTTTGATCTGCTGAATATATATTAGAGACAAATGCAAACTAATGAGTGAATCTATTAGCTATTGTATACGTACTCACAAACAAGTGAGTCTCACACTGCCTCCCATCCATTAGGCACTTCGGTAATGGTCAGACAATGCATGTTAGGGTGTGAGGCCTTGTTTAGAATCTGTCTGTGTTTTGGTTTGGAGTCAGGCTGGTTTTATTTCTAAAGCAGGAATTTATAAAATGCCACATTGACTGACTGTCTATAAATTGTGCGCTTTTTGAACTAGCCTGACTCCAAACCAAAACACAAATAGATTCTAAACAAGGCCTCACCCTGACATGCATTGACTGAGCTAAAATGTCACCTTGTCTTTACGCTGATAAAACCTTTAGTTCTCTCAGGGCAATGACTTGAAAGAAATTTGTGGATTTACGTATACATATCAATCAATTAAAACCTTCTAACTGATTAAGGATTTAACAGCATCTTAGGTTTGTTTAATACATCCTCATCAGTGGTGTGACCATTTGATCTTTTACTTAAAAATTCTGTGTCTGATACTGCCTCTCTCACTAACACCTGAAGTAGGAGTAAGGCTCCAAAAGCTAGTGTTTTCAAATAAACCTGCTGGACTATAGCCTGGTGTCGTGCGATTTCTGACATTGTCCACCCCAGTCCAACTCCAGCACCTCCACATCAAATCTTTACAAGTAGGCATAGAGACGTAGAGATGTACATCGCGGAAATAGACTGTTCGGTCCAATTCATCCATGCCGACTGGATATCCTAAATTAATCTAGTCCCCTTTGCCAATATTTGGCCCATGTCCCGCTAAACTCTTCCTGTTCACAAAAGATGTCTTTTCAGTGTTGTAATTATATCAGCCTCCACCCCTTCCTCTGGCAGCTGATTTCATACACGAACCATCCTGTGCATGAGAAAGTTTCCCCTTAGGTCCCTTTTAAATCTTTCTCCTCTCACCTTAAACCTATGCTGTCTGGTTTAGAATCTATCTGTGTTTCGGTTTGGAGTCAGACTGGTTTTATTTCTAAAGCATGAATTTGTAAAAAGTCACATTGACTGACTGACTGTCTATAAATTCCTTCAGCCCAGGGGAAAGACCCCACACCCCTCCTCATTTTATAAACCTCTATAAGGTCACTCCTCAGCCTCTGACGCTCCAGGGAAAATAGCCCCAGCCTGTGCAGCCTCTCCCTATAACTCAACCCCGGCAACATCCTTGTAAATCTTTTCTGAACCCTTTCAAGTTTTGAGGGAGATTGGATTTTATTTTCAATGGAAAGGTGGTTTCTGAGTTGTTACTGGTTTTGTTTGGATCTGTGCAAGTTTGGATCTGCACAAGCATTGACAGGGACCTGCTGCAACAACAGGTCTCAATGTGTTTGCCTGATGCAGGAATGGTGTGGAGGGATGAACACGGGGATGTTGCCAATATTTTTCATATTCCTACAGTAATCAGGGCTGTGGGATTTCAGAGAATGTTCATGCTGTGATATAGACCTGACTGGAAGATGCTTGATTAATTTTTCTCTCTTTCTTGCTCGCTTTAGGTCAAAAGTCCCCCCTTTTGAAAAAGCCCGGACTGTACTGGAACCTTTGCTGCACAAAGAAACGGTTAGTTTTTCCTCCTTCTGTTCGGAAAAACAAAGTACGCCTGCTTCGGGCTGTATCCAAGGTGACCAAATTGTGGGGTCTGGAGTCACATTTAGGCCACACCCTGTAAGGACAGAAAATTTCCTTCCCTAAAGGCCACTTGTGAACCAGATGGGTTTTTCTGACAATCGGCAAGAGTTGTCACGGTAACCCTTACTGAGGCTGACTTTATATTCCTGACTTTTATTCTTGAATTTAAATTCTGCCAACTGTCATTGAGCTGAGGTGGGGATTTGAACCCATTTCCTCCTGAGCATTAGTCTGAATCTCTGGATTCTAAGTCAAGCAGCGTTAGTGCAATGTCAGTCTTCTGTCAGAGAGGTAATTCCTTCAGTTTGAACCAGCACTCATGAAGAAACAGTAGGTTATTCACATCCCTGTACTGTTTTGTTTGTGCTGTTTAATATATTTTAAATTTTTTTTTTAAAAAATTAGTGTGGCTCAGTGATTAGCACTGCTGCCTCACCGTGCCGGGGACCTGGGTTCGATTCTAGCCTCGGGCGACTGTCTGTGTGGAGTTTGCACAATTTCTCTGTGTCTGCGTGTGTTTCCTCCGGTTTTCTCTCACAATCCAAAGATGTGCAGGTTAGGTGGATTAGAGTCATATCGGTTTAAAGCATGGAAATAGGCCCTTCAGCCCAACTTCACTATGCCACCCACTTTTTACAATTAATCTAGTCCCATTTGCCTGCATTTGGTCCATATCTCTCCATATCTATCCCATCCATGTACCTGTCTAAATGTTTCTTAAATAGCAAAATTGCACTCACCGCCATCACTACATTGGCAGCCTGTTCCAGACACTCGGCACCCTCTGTGTGGAAAAAATTGCCCCGTGGACCCTTCTGTATCTCTCCCCTCTCACCTTAAACCTATGCCGTCTAGTTCTAGATACCCCTAGCCTGGGGAAAGGCTGCCCACTATCTGCCTCATCTATGCTTCTCATGATTTTATAAACCAATATAAGTCACCCCCTCAGTTTAAAAAAACTCCAGTTTAAAAAAAAAAGTCCCAGCCTATCCAGCCTCTCCTTATAACTCAGCCGTTTTTAATTGCCCATAGTGTCCAGGGATGTGCAGGTTAGGTGGGTTAGCCATGGGAAGTGCAGGGTTACAGGGGGTGGGTCTGGGTGGGAGTCTGTTCGGAGGGTCAGTGCAGACATAATGGGCCCAATGGCCTCTTTCTGCACTCCAGGGATTCTATTCCAAGACATAGCGCAGAATCTAGCAGCTATGGTATTTCCATAAGAGTGCTGTTTGAGTGCAGATTAATGTGATGGAAGTTTAGTCTCTGTCGCTTTGAAAAAAGACAGATCCAGGGAGAAGCAAGACTTGAGAAACAAGGATCAAGTAAAGCAAGCTGTCCACAAACTGTGTAGCAGTGAGGCCATCGTAATACAGCCAGTCTCAGAGTGGGGAAAAGGTTTTGTTCTGGAGTCCAGTCACAAGTCAATTGTGTACACGTCGGAACACAATGCAGAGCAATGAAGGCAATTGTTCACAAGTGCAGGAAATGTTCATAACGATGAATGTTTAAAATCACGCCCCTGTATGGGATTCTGTTTGTAAGTACTCACACTCGTTAAGTCAGACTTTCATAAATTGGGGACCATTTATAAATTAAACTTACACAAAACAAATATTTTTACAGCCCGCAGTTTAGAGCCATACAGTCAGACAGCGTGGAAATCGACCCTTCGGTCCAACCAGTCCATGACAAGCATAATCCCAAACTAAACTAGCCCCACCTGCCTGCTTCCTCCAAACATTTCATGCATCTATGCAAATATCTTTGTAACCGTACCCGCATCCATCGAAGTTTGTTCCACACATGAACCATTCTGTGTTTTAAAAAAAAAGTTGCCCCTCATGTCTTTTTGAAATCTTTCTCCTCACATCTTAAAAAGATGCCCCCTAGTTTTGAAATCCCTCACCCTAGGGAAAAGACACCTGCCATTACCTTATCTATACGCCTCATGATTTTATAGACTTCCATAAGGTCATCTTTTACATCTCTTCCAGTGAAGGTAGGTGGAGCAGTCATTTCAATAGAATACAGAATACTCCATTTGATCTCCCTGGGAGGTTCTGAAGATGAAATTTAACTCGGATATCCAGATGGCTTGGTGGATGCAATCTTGTGGGCTTTTTGTTTGTATTTAATCTATCCCAAACCTGTTTCTATTGGTAAAGTTGAGTGGCCACCTTTCTAAATGTATTGGTTCGTGTTAAGTTATAAACGTAAAATCGGATCTTCACTTTGGGGTGAAATCGCCCACACTGAGTGGACTGCAAAAGCAATTAACATGCAAAGGTGCTTCATGACACTTTCTGTTGAGGGGAAGCTCTAGCAAGTTTTACCAAGAACAGATCCCTCAGTGTGTCTTAAGTGTTTATGCTAGATCTTGCTATTTAGCTTCAGCAGCAGTTCGTTTGTTTTGAGCACTCAAAGAGGTAAAGTAAACCCGTCTTCAGCAGCAACTTAAATCAGAGAGGGACTTCAGACACAAACACCAGCTACTCTTTCTGCTCTGATTTTTGGGGATTTCAAAGTCAAACACCATCTGCTGCATCTGCTTCACTTTTGTGCTCATGTTTCTTCCTTGGAACATGCTGTAGTGATATTTCATTTCTTTACCCCTGCCCCCCTTTCCATGCAGCATTACACTTGGTGCATTTTTCTTTTAACTACTTACATATGATTTAGATGTATGAGGAAATAAAAGTCCTGTTGGTCAGGAGGTGTTATTTTATGTGTGCAGTTTACGAGCAGAATATTGGACTGCTGTGTAATGTTTGAAAACACCCTCTGGGGTGCAGTAGCGTAGTGGTTATGTACATGGATCCAAATTCATGACATCCCACCCCCACCCCAACCATGGTACTTATTAAATCTGTTCTATAAAATTGGTCATGGTGACCATTTTCCTTATGAATCATTCACAAAATGTCGCTGGCTGAGCCAGCATTTATTGCCCGTCCCTAGTTATAGAGCCATAGAGTTGTACAGCATGGATACAGACCCTTGGTCCATGCCAACCAGATTTCCTAAATTAATCTAGTCCCACTTGCCACCATTTGGCCCATATCCCTCTAAACCCTTCCTGTACATTTACCCATCCAGATGCCTTTTAAATGTTGTAATTGTACCAGCCTCCACCACTTCCTCTGGCAGCTCATTCCATACATGCACAACCCTCTGTGTAAAAAACTTACTCCTTAGGTCCCTTTTAAATCTTTCCCCTCTCACCTTAAACCCTTGCCCTCTAGTTTTGGACTCCCCACCACCCCGAGGAAAAGACCTTGTCAATTTACCCTATCCATGATTTTATAAACCCCTATAAGGTCATCCCACAACCTCTGAAGCTCCAGGGAAAATAGCCCCAGCCTATTCTGCTCCACCCCATCACCATCATCATCCCTGGATATGTCCTGTCCCACCGGCAGGACAGACCCAGCAGAGGGGGTGGCACAGTGGGATACAGTCGGGAGGGAATTGATCTAGGAGTCCTCAACATTGACTGTGGACCCATGAAGTCTCATGGCTTCAGATTAAACATGGGCAGGGAAACCTCCTGCTGATTACCACATACCGTTCTCCCTCAGCTGATGAATCAGTATTCCTCCATGTTGAACAACACTGTGAGGAAGTGCTGAGGATGGCAAGGGCACAAAATGTACTCTGGGTGGGGGATTTCAACGCCCACCACCAAGAGTGGCTCAGCAGCAGTAATACTGATCGAGCAGGCCGGGTCCTAAAGGACATAGCTGCTAGACTGGGTCTGCAGCAGGTGGTGAGGGAACCAACAAAAGGGAAAAACATACTCAAACCTCATCCTTACTAATCTGTAGCTGCAGTTGCATCTGTCCGTGACAGTATCAGTAAAAGTGACCATCACACAGTCCTTGTGGAGTCAAAATCCTGCCTTTACATTAAGAACAACTTCCATTGTGTTGTGTGGCACTATCACCGTGCTAAATGGGACAGACTTTGCACAGATTTAGCAACTTCAGACTGGGCATCCATGAGGCACTGTGGGCCATCAACAGCAGCAGAATTGTACTCCAGCACAATCTGTAACCTCATGGCCCAGCATATCCCCCACTCAACCATTACCATCAAGCCAGGGGGTTAACCCTAGTTCAGAGTGCAGGAGGGCATGCCAGGAGCAGCACCAGGCATACCTGAGGATGAGGTATCAACCTGGTGATGCCACCAAACAGGACTACTTGCATTCCAAACAGCAAAAGCAGCAAGTGATAGAGCTAAGTGATTCCACAACCAATGGATCAGATCTAAGCTCTGCAGTCCTGCCACATCCAGTCGTGAATGGTGGAGGACAATTAAACACCTCACTGGGGAAGGAGGCTCCACAAACCTCCCCATCCTCAACGATGGAAGAGCCCATCACATCATTGCAAAAGATATAGCCAGAAATGCTGAGTGGATGATCCATCTCAGCCTCCTCCAGTGGTCCCCAGCATCACAGGTACCAGTCTTCACCCAATTCAATTCACTCCACATGATATCAAGAAAAGGCTGGAGGCACTGGATACTGCAAAGGCAACCGGCCCTGACAACATTCCGGCAATAGTACTGAAGTCTTGTGCTCCAGAACTTGCTGCTTCCTTAGCCAAGCTGTTCCAGTACAGTTACAACACTGGAATCTACCTGACAATGTGGAAAATTGCCCAAGTATGTCCTGTATATAAAAAGCAGGACAAATCCAACCCGACCAATTACCGCCCCATCAGTCTCCTCTCAATCATCAGTAAAGTGATGGAAGGTGTCATGAACAGTGCTATCAAGCAGCAGCTGCTCAGAAATAATCTGCTCAATGACGCCCAGTTTGGGTTCCGCCAGGACCACTCAGCTCCTGATCTCATTACAGCCATGGTTCAACATGGACAAAAGAGCTGAATTCCAGAGTGAGGTGAGAGTGACAGCCCTTGACGTCAAGGCTGTATTCGACCGAGTGTGACATCAAGGAGCCTGAGCAAAACTGGAATCAATGGGTATCAGGGGGCAAACGCTCCAGTGGTTGGAGTCATACCTTACACATAGAAAGATGGTCATGGTTGTTTAAGGTCAGCCATCTCAGCTCCAGGACATCTCTGCAGGTGTTCCTCAGGATAGTGTCCTAGGCCCAACCATCTTCAGCTGTTTCATCAATGACCTTCCCTCCATCATAAGGTCAGAAGTGGGGATGTTCGCCGATGATTGCACAATGTTCAGCACCATTTGTTACTCCTCAGCAGTCCGTGTCAAAACGTACAAGATCTGGACAATATCCAGTGGCTCAGTGGTTAGCACTGCTACCTCCTGTCTCTCTGTATGGAGTTTGCACATTCTCCCCGTGTCTGCGTGGGTTTCCACCACATGCTCTGGTTTCCTCCCACAGTCCAAAGATGTGTAGGCTAGGCGGATTGACCATGCCAAATTGCCCCATAGTGTCTAGGTTAGGTGCATTAGCCACAGGAAATGCAGGGTTACAGGGATAGGGTAGGGGGATGAGTCTGGGTGGGTGATGTTCGGAGGGCCGTTAGGCCGAATAGCCTATTTCCACACTGTGGGGGTTCTACGGCTGACAAGTGGCAAGTAACATTTGCAGCACACAAATGTCAAGCTATGACCATCTCCAATAAGAGACAATCTAACCACCGCCCCCTGACATTCAATGGTGTTACCATCACTGTTTCCCCCAATATCAACATCCTGGGGGTTATCACTGATCAGAAACTCAACTGGACTCACCACATAAACACAGCGGCTATGACAGCAGGTCAGAGACTAGGAATGCTGCCGCAAGTAAATCGCCTCCTGACTCCTCAAAGCCTGTCCACCATCTACAAGGCACAAGTCAGGAGTGTGATGGAATACTCCCCACTTGCCTGGATGGGTGCAGCCCCCAGCAACACTCAAGAAGCTTGATACCATCCAGGACAAAGCAGCCCGCTTGATTGGCACCACATCCACAAACATCCACTCCCTCCACCACCGACGCTCAGTAGCAGCAGTGTGTACTATCCACAAGGTGCACTGCAGAAATTCACCAAAGATCCTCAGGCAGCACCTTCCAAAACCATGACCACTTCCATCTAGAAGGACAAAAGCAGCAGATACATGGGACACCACCATCTTCAAGTTCCCCTCCAAGCCTCTCACTATCCTGACTTGGAAATATATTGCTGTTCCTTCGCTGGGTCCAAATCCTGGAATTCCCTCCCTAATGGCATTATGGGTCAACCCACAGCAGGTGGACTGTAGCAGTTCAAGAAGGCAGCTCACCACCACCTTCTCAAGGGGTCAACTAGCAACGAGCAATAATTGCTGGCTCGGCCAGCGATGCCCACATCCCACAACATGCATAAATTAAAAAATGCCTCTCCCTATAGCTCAAACCTGGCAACATACTTGTAAATCTTTTCTGAACCCTTTCAAGTTTCACAATATCCTTGCTATAGCAGGGAGCCCTTGAGAAGGTGGGGGTGAGCTGCCTTCTTGAACCACTGCAGTCCATGTGCTGTAGGTTGACCCACAATGCCCTTAGGGAGGGAATTCCAGGATTTTGACCCAGCGACACTGAAGGAATGGTGATATATTTCAACATCAGGATAGTGTGTGGCTTGGAGGGGAATTTGCATGTATCTGCTGCCAGTGTCCTTCTGGATGGTGGTGGTCATGATTTTGGAACAAGTTATTAAAGGACCCTTGGTGAGATACCACAGTGCATACTGAAGATGGTACTGCTACCACCCTGCGATGGTGTCAGAGGGAGTGAAAGTTTACGGCAGTGGATGGGGTGCCAGTAAAAAAAACTGTTGGAGCATTGTATGAATGCACCTGGCTCACTAATGTCCTTTAGGGAAGGAAATCAATCATTTCTTTGTTATTCATTCACAGGATGAGGGCATCGCTGATTAGGCCACAGTATTTATTGTCCATCCCTAATTGCCCAAAGGGCAGTTCAGAGTCAACCACATTGCTATGGGTCTGTAGGCCAGACCAGGTAAGGATGGCAGTTTTCTTCCCTAAAGGACATTAGTGATCCAGATGGCTGTTTCCCAATAATCAATGATAGTTTCATGGCCATCATTAGACTTGTAATTCCAGATTTTTATTAAATTCAAATTCCACCATAGGGGGGTTGTGAATCCAGATCGCCAGAACGTTATCTGGGTCTCTGGATTAAGAGTCGAACGATAATGCCACGAGGCCATTGCCTCCCCTGAGCCGGACTGGGCTTTATGTAATGTCCAGTCTCTCAGCAATGTGGTTGACTCCTAACTGCCATTGGAATGCACTAGCAAGCTAATTGGTTGTATTCAAGAGGGCATCTCCTCAACGTCTTGTTTAATTAGGAGCTGGCTTCAGGAGTGATTCCAACTGATCAGAAAAAAAGCCTGGGATGGTGAAATAGTCTCGCTGAAGTGACCTCTTTCTCCCTGCACTTTGGGAATAAGAAAAAAGCGAATAGACAATTGGAATGACTTCAGTGGTGCTGTGTAATCCAGGAACTGAGATCTACCTATCTCAGATAAAGGATCCTCTGCACTGGTTTGTGTTCCACACTATTTCATCTGTTGAAACAGTGCATCATTCCAAAGCTTGAGGGAGAAACTTGGATTTACAAGCTACGCTGATTCCTTCAGGCTGCCACCAAGTGGCTCACAGCCAATGATTTAGGGGATGGCGTTGTTGTCCATTAGGAGTCTCTGAGCCATTTGAGGAAACACAGCAGGCCAGGCAGCATCAAAGGAGCAGGGAAGCTGACGTTTCGCATCTGGACCCTTCTTCAGAAATGGGGGAGGGGAAGGGGGTTATTTCAGAGCGCCCTTCCCCTCTCCCATTTCAGAAGAAGGGTCCCCACCCGAAACATCAACTTTCCTCCTCCTCTGATGCTGCTTGGCCTGCTGTGTTTCTCCAGCTCCACACTGTGCTATCTGAGCCATTTGAATTGTTTTAATGGCAGATTGAGGACACGGCCACTTCCATAGGCTTGAAAACGTGCCAGGTCTCTCTCTCTCTGTCTCTTTCTTTCTCTCTCATCTTTCTGAACTGCCCAACTCGACACTTCTGACAAGGCAGCACTCCTTCAGCACTGCGTTGGAGCGTCTGGGGTTAGCCTGTGCCAACGGCTATAGAGTGGGGGGGTGAAACCAGGAGGCTCCTAATTGATAGGTACCAAATGAGCCAACCTGACGCACTGTGTAGGATAGGATCATGCTTGCCTTACAACCTGGCGTGTCCAGAGTCTGTGTGTTCAACAGCCACTTATGAGAGGGTGGGGGGCGGGGGGGGGGGGGGTGGGGGTGGGAGGAAGGAGCCAGTAAACCCTGGGACACGTGAATTACATCAGTGCAAGATGCAGTATGATTGGGGCAGAAAATGGTTCAGAGAAGTAAGATGGCAACTCAAATTGAAACGGTCTTCTCTCAAACAAGGTTGTTCTAAGTTAGTAGATGGCTTCAAGCACTTTGGAGCTGTGTGACTTGTGTAGCTCTTCACATCTCACCTATCTTTCTATCTCAGACGAATGAGTTGCCTTTGAGCAAGAAGATAAAGATAAAGATGGAGAATCCTGATCTTCTTGAGCTTTGTCACATGCTTCCGATGGAGGTTATTAATTTGGGTAAGATGCGTGCGCTTTTTGGGTTCACATCCTTCTGGCCAAAACATGAACTCTGTTGCCTTGTAGGCGCCAATCAAGAGTAGGCCATTCAGCCCCTCGGGTGCACTCCACCTGGCTATAGCCTCAACCCCACTTTCCTGTCTCATCCCAATATGCTTGAACATCCCTGTTAGTCACGAATTTCGCTAACTCAGTCATAGCGCCTCCCCCTGCCTGCGTGGGAAAGAGGATCCCACAGACTCATGGTCTTGACCTCCATCCTAAGTGGGGGTGGGGGGGTGTCTCCTAATAATTAAACCATGTCTCGTCGATTGAGTCTATCCCACAAGGGTGAACTGTCAGTGCATAAGGTCTCTGCCAACCACCATTTTCAGCCTAGGAAAGGAGGCTTGGATCTTTTCAATAAAGAAGTTAAGAAAGCAGTGGTCAAGCCTCTTTTTAACCCTCACTCTTCCTCTTGCCCAACTGCAGGTGGCAAGGGTTATGATCCCGAGCATGTAGGTGAACCCTCTGCCTTTGAAGACTGGCTCCAATGCTACTACGTCGATGGAATGCAGTTGTTACGTGACAGTAATGGAAGAACCATTTGGTTTCAGGTAATCAGAATAGCTTCACAGTGATTATATTTGATTTATTATTGTCACGTGTGCTGAGATACAGTGAACAGTATTGTTTTGTGTGCTAGCCAGACAGATCATATCTTACATAAATACGTGAGGGTCATACAAGAGTGCAGAATATAGTGTTACAGCTCGGATAAAGATCAACTCTTAATGTAATGAGACATCCGTTCATAAGCCTGATAAAAGAGGGGAAGAAGCTGTTCATAAATCTGTTGGGACATGTTTTCAAACTTTTGTATCTTCTGCCGGATGGAAGAGAATATAAGCAGGGTGGAAGGCGTTCTTGATTATGTTGTCTGCTCTCCTGAGGCAGCGGGAAGTGTAGATGGAGTCAATGGATGGAAGGCAGGTTTGCGTGATGGACTGTGTTCACTTTCTCTGTAATTTCTTGTGGTCTTGGGCAGAGCAGTTTCTGTACTAGGGCAGTGATACATCTGGATAGGATGCTGTCTGTGGTGCATCTATAAAAACTGGTGGGAGCCATTGTGGACATGCTGAATTTCCTTAGCCTCCTGAGGAAGTAGAGGTGTTGGTGTGCTTTCTTGACTGTAGCGACGACATGGATGGATCAGGATAGATCGTTGGTGATATTTACACTTAGCAACTTGAAGCTGTCTACCATCTCCACCTCAGCACCATTAAAACAGAGAGGGGTGTGTCCACCACTCCACTTCAGTCGATGACCAGGTCCTTTGTTTTACTGACATTGAGGGAGAGATTGTTGTCTGTACATCATGCCACTAAGCTCTCTATTTCTTTCCTGTCCTCTGCCTCATTGTTGATTCAAAATCTTCCCCCCTCCTCCCAAGCCCTTCATGCCAACATCGCCCCCCCACCCTGCCAATCTGAGTGCCCAACTGGGCAGGTTAAGTACAATTTTATTTGAAGATTATCGACTGGTTTCCGCTCCTAGAAGCGTCGGTTAAAGTAGAAAATAGAATCTGACCGTTCGTTGGGAGGCCATTTGAGTCATCAGACCTATGCTGGTTCTTTGGAAGTGCAGTCAATCCCCATTCCCACTCCCCCATTCCCACTCTATCGTCACAGCCCTGGAGATCTGTCCTTGCTCCTGTCTGCTTATGTCTCTCTTAAGATCATAAGAACCCAGTGTGTTGAAAAATAAAATTCTCCTCTCTATTCACACTTCCATTTTACCAATTCCCGGCCCTTCATTGTTGTGTTCCAGCATGGTCTCTTGTGATGCAGTGGTAGTGTCCCTATCTCTGAGCCAGGAGGTTAAGTTCCCATCCGTTCTAGGGGTATATCATGACATGTCTTAACAGTATCTACACTGTCCTAGCTTTTATTGCTCAAGCCCACAGCAATATGAATTGCAATCAATGTTAATATCTGGCCTTTAAAACTGTTCCCTCTAGAGGGCAGTGAGGGTGTTAGAGTGTTTTAACCAGTGTTACGAGGGGAAAACACACTGCCAAACTGTGGCTGTATTTTCTCGGCAGATTTTTAGTCCGTTCATATCATCAGGTCATGACACAAAAAAGGAGGCCGTTAGCCCATCACTCAAATGATTAATTCTCACCAACAGAAGAGAAATCTAAGCGCTATGGAACATCTTTTGCGAGGTCTGTGAATGTACATTTTACCTAATTTACAGCTGATTCCACAGCTCTCCCTGCGATAGGGTTCAGCTTATGGGTAGTTGTATTTTTCATTTCTTCCATAAGAGAGAGATTTTCATCTTGGGAATCATCAGGACACAATTGCAAGAATACCAAAGCACTCAGATGAATTACTGTGACATCATGCCTCACGGTCTGTGCTGCCAAGCAACGATTCATTCTGTGAATACTTCCATTTATATAGCACCGGTTGTCATCTCAGGGCATCCCAAAGTGCTTCGGCCCAGGAAAGTACTTCTCCAAATTCCTACGCAGCAGCTAAATTGGGCACAGAAAGCTCCCACAAACAGCAACAACTAGATTTGTTCTATTGCTGAAACGAGACAAGAAGGTGAAGTTTCATCTGCCCGCTAGTCAGGACTGGGTTGCGAGAAACGGACATGAACCCAGGGATGACATACAGCATGGGAAGATGATGCTAACTGGAAGGGCTGTCATTGGCTGGAGGTGTATCAAGAGCAGTTAACTGTCAATCCGAGCTGTCACGCAGATTCGGATTGGTCGGGATGTTGCCGTGGGGGCATGGGAGAGGTCGGCCGTTTCCGTGAGCCCATTTTTTTTCCTGAAAAGAAGTGCAATGTCTGTCCAAATTCGTTTTGCCTTTGTAGAACTGTGTATCATCGAGCACGTGCATCACATTGGGAGCCCAATTCAAGATGATCTTGAAATGGTGTAAGCCTTAGCGCAGTCTGGATTATTTAACAAGTGATTTCCTAAAACAGAATGACCTCGAGAGGTGGATATACTTTTTGAGGCTTACGAGCATGTGCAGGTTAATTCATCTGCCATCCATTTACCTTGTGCTCACTTGGTCCCTGCCTGGCATTGCCTCAGATTTAATATTCACATTCATGTGTTCAAATCCCTCTGCCCCCTATCTCTATAACCTCAACCCGCTGAGAAGGGCCACATTCTGAGAATTCTGTGCTCATTCCAGTTCCTGCATTTGTGTATTGACCGCAGTGGATTGCACTTCCTGATAAACTTGCTGGCACGTCCTTGAGAGCAGATCCATATTTCCAGGGGATTTAACGTAGCGCGTGCAGGGCGCCCATTCGAGGAACATGGCCTGGAACCCCGCCGTTGTGGCACCAGGGAACTGAGCTCAAGAGGTGCGAGGTATCATTGTGTTCACGCTCTGCTGCCAGCCGCTGACCTCTCTCAGACCTGATCAATCCAACGTCGCTCAATCCCGTTGGAAAGTTTCAAGAACACTAACATGGCGCGCATCAACGTTTCTCCCTCCCCCTTCACTCCACCCTCCATCCCAAGCAAGATGAGAAAGGAAATATCAAAGGGCCTGCCTCTCGTACCAGGGTACGGCTAGGTGGGGGGGTGGAGGGGTGTTGGGGGTGTGGGTGGTAGGGGAATGTTGGTGAAAGAAGGAGAATCTGTTTTGCTGCTACCTCGGTCATGTATGTAATAACCTCACTCCCATATGGTCTCGCTAATGGTATTATCATAGCAACCGGTCAGCCCCTCTGATCTCACACGCGACTGGACACTCTGTTCAACTTGAGAAACGAATGCAGAAATTTGCTGGAAAAGCTCAGCAGGTCCAGCAGCGTCTGTGGAGAGAAATCAGAGTTAACGTTCCAGGTCGAGTGACTCTTGCTCAGAATGGAGGTGAAATTAGAATGTGGTTTGCACTGTTGCTTCTTTCTTTCCCCACTGCTCGTGAGAAATCAGAACGGAGGGAGGGTCTGAGGAAGGGTCATCGGACCCGAACCGTTCACTCTGATTTCTCTCCACAGGTGCTACCAGACCTGCTGAGCTCTTCCAGCAATTTCCATTTCTGTTTCTGTTTCTGTTTCTGATTTACAGCATCTGCAGTACTTTCGGTTTGTTTGTCACTGGAGTGTCTTGGATCACAGGATGCATCCAAGCGGTTCTTTTCTGATTCAGTTAAATGTAGTTAAGAGAAGGCTCGACAACAGCAATTTGCTTAAATACCAACATTTAGTGAGTCATAATTAAAAAAGGAAAATAGAAAGGAACATTTATTAAGGAAGTAAAAAGAATGAAGAAGAGAGGAAAGAAACAATAAGCCTCACGCCCTTTTGCTCGTCGGGGACCCCTCGATTGATGGCCCATCTGGAGGCTGAGGATCGTTCCTGGCACCGTTCGTGATCCCGGTCCAAGGTGAAGTCCAGCGACTTGGAATGAAACTCTCTCTCTCATACGGTGCAACACATTGCCAGCACAAAGACAACAGAAACAGCAGACAAAACTAGTTTAGAAAACACTGCTACAGAAAGAAACAAGCTGCTGCTGCTGTCCTCGGCCCATAAAAGAATGTTCACAGGACACATCCGAGGTCGTGCAGCTTGTCGAGTATCATCAGCAATTTTAGCCCTTCGGCCCATCCTCTTCGTGGAGACAGAGTCGTAGAGGATTCTGCTGAAGCGTTTGCCCTTTCTGCTGGAAGCCTGCACTTTCTCCATGCGTCTGAGTGTTGGTGAGGTGTTGTAGCTGGCCTCCGTGCTTTGCTGCTGAGTTATAGAAAACATAGGAGCGTGAGTAGGCCATTCAGCCCTTCAAGCCTGCTCCACTGGTAGATTTGATCATGGCTGATCATAACCGTCTGTACTCGGAACCCCTCACTAAATGAATCCAGTTAGATCAACTGTTCATACCTGCTTCCATCACAACAGTACGGGGCTGTTTGTGGCTGATCTGTTCTACGTGCCCGTTTTTTAAAAAGTGCATTTATATAGCACTTGCCACAATCCAAGGATGTTCCAAAATGTTTTTTTTTGTTCATTCATAGATGGGACATGGGCATCATTGACCAGGTCAGCTTTCATCACCCATCCCTAGGCTCCCTTGTGAAAGTGGTACTGTGCTGCCTTTACAACAGCTGTGCTGTAGGTAGACCCACAGTGCCCTTAGGGAGGGCTTTCCAGGATTTCGACCCAGTGACAGTGAAGGGAAGTGGCATAATTCAAAGTCAGAGTTAACGCTTCGATTCCAGTGACCCTTCTCCAGAACTGTTTCTACATCAGGAAGGTGAATGGCTTGGAGGGGAACTTGTAATTGGTGGTGTTCCCATGCATCTGCTGCCCTTTGTCCTCCTAGTTGGAAGATATAGAAGATATAAAAGTTTATTTACACGTACTAACAGATTCAAGAACAGCTTCTTCCCCACTATTATCAGACTTTTGAATGGACCTCTTCAATGTTAATGTTGATCTCTCTCTGCACTTTTAACACTGTATTGTGCACTCTGTTCTGTCACCCTGAAACACTTGTATTGTATAATTTACCTGTAAAGCACGTAAGACAACACTTTTCACCATACCTCAGTACGTGATTGTAATAAATCAAATCAAAATGGGTTTGGAAGGTACTGTCTGAGGATCTTTGGTGAATTTGTGCAGTGCGTCTTGTAGATAATACACACTGCTGCTACTGAGCGTCGGTTGTGGAGGGAGTGGATGAGGTGCAAATGAAGCAGGAATTACTTGTATTGCAAGAAATGAAATAATATTTTGAGGTGAGGTCACTTTAGTAATCTCGGAAACACAAGAGCACAGCAAGTTCCCACAAACAGCGTGGTCACAACAGGATGGTCTTTCTTCTGTGAAGCTGATTGAAGGATGATAGTGGCCAGGACACTGTGCAATAGGTACAGATCATCTTCAAAATAGCTCACTGGGGCTTGTTTTTATTTTTAAAAAAAGGCTCACCTGAAAGGGGCTGTCTTGGACTCTGTTTAATATGGGCTTCTGAAAGGTGACCCCTCCAACAGTGCAGTGCTCCTGTGGTGTTGCACCCGGCCTCAGTCACGTGCTGACATTCCTGGCCTGGGGCTCAGAGCTGTGACCCGGAGGCCAGGAATGCCGATACCGAGTCACAGAAGTAGCCAACCCTCCAGGTGGCTGGGCACTTGGTGGAGAGGCATCAGACCCGTGGAGAGGCATCAGACCCAAGGAGAGCTACTGGAACCAATCATCTGTACAGCCTAGATACCGCTGAATAGAAGGAGTCATAGAGAGAAGACAAAAGGCTGTCCTGTTTGTACTGGCCCTCTGAAAGAGCAACGCATTTACCCCCGCTCACTCACCTTTTCCCTGTAGCCCTGCAGTTTTTTTTTTATCAAGTTAATTCTCATATGGAAGTAACTATAGAAACTGTCTCCACTGCACACTTGTATTTGTGTTGCAGTTGTTGTTTATGGGGGGCAAGATGGCTCAGTGGTTAACACTGCTGCCTCATAGCGCCAGGTACCCGCTTTCAAATCTACCCTCGGGCAACTGTCTGTGTGGAGTTTGCACATTCTCCCCGTGTCTGTGTGGGTTTCCTCCAGGTGCTGTAGTTTCTTCCCACAGACTAAAGATGTGCAGGATAGGGTGGATTGACCATGCTAAATTGGCCATAGTATCCAGGGAGGTGCAGGCTAGGTGGATTATGGGTAATGCAGGATTCCAGGGATAGGTTAGGGGAGTGGGTCTGGATGGGTCGGTGTGGACTCTATGGTTGAATGGCCTGCTTCCACACTGTAAGGGATTCTATGAGATCTATCTACTTGCTACATTTTAAAACAAAAGTTCTTCATTATGTCACCTTTTGCCAATCACTTTAATGCTTCTGCCAATGGAGTCAGTGCCACCCTGCCCCCCCACCCCACCCACTTGGTTTGATAGACATGCTAGTGATGCTGCTGGGCAGCTTTACATATGTTGCTTAATGAGCCAGCTCGGTGCTGTGTTTGTAGGGAATAAGCTGGCTACCTGGAAAGTTGGACGTCCAACAGGACAGGGGCCATAGGTAAGCAAGTGGGACGAGAGTCACCAAGAGGGGAGATGGTGGTGATGTCACTGAACGTGTGAACCAGGGGCACAAGTGAATGCTTTGTGGGGCAGGGCTTCAAATCCCACCACAGTGGCTGGTGTAAATTGCAGTCATTTCATTGGGGTAACTATTACCCCACAGGAGTGTCTTGACATGCCCTATATTAGTGTCAAGCTTAAACCGTGAGCAGTAGGGGCCTCTTGTGATGCAGTGGTACTGTCCATACCTCTGAGCCAGTACGCCCGAGTTCAAATCCTACCTGCTCCAGGGGTGTGTAACTACATAGTGTCATATGGGTATACAGGACGGAAACAGGCCCTTCGGCCCAACTCATCTGTGCCAACCAGGTTTCCTAAACTGAACTAGATCCATTTGCCTGTGTTTGGCCCATATCCCTCTAAGCCTTTCCTATCCATGTACCTGTCAAAATGTCTTTTAAATGTTGTAATTATACCCACCCCAACCCACTTCCTGTGGCAACTCGTTCCATATATGCATCCCTCTCAGTTTGAAAAAGTTGCCCCTCAGGTCCCTTTTAAATCTTTGCTCTCTTACCTTAAACATGTGCTCTCTAGTTTTGGACTCCTCTACCCCAGGGAAAAGACCATTCACCCTACCCGTGCCCTTTTAGATTTTATAAACCTCTATAAGTTCACGCCCCAGCCTTCTGCGCTCCAGGGAAAAATGTCCCAGCCTATCCAGCTTCTCCTTATAACTCAGCCCTCTCGTCTCGCTAATATCCTTGTCAATCTTTTTTTGCACCCTTTCCAGTTTAATAACATCCTTCCTATAGCAGAGTGACCAGAATTGTGTGCAGTACTCCAAATGTAACCTTACCAATGTCTTGTACAGCTGTAACATGATGCACACTCCTGTGCTCAGTGTTGTTACTGATGAAGGCAAGTGTGCTAAACACCTTCTCCACCACCCTGTCTACCTGTGACGCCACTTTCAAGGAGCTATGTGCCTGCACTCCGAGGTCTGTCTGTTTGATAATACTGTCAAGGCCCTACCATTAATGTGTGAGTCCTGCCCTGGTTTGCCTTACCAAAATGCAACAGCTTCCATTTGTTTGAATTCAACTCCATCTGCCATTCCTCAGCCCACCGAGCCAGTTGATCAAGATCCCATTGTACTCTGAGATAACCTTCTTCACTTGCCCACTATCATCTGGTGTCATCTGCAAACTTGCTAACCATGCCTCCTATATTTCTCATCCAAATCATTCATATAAATGATGAACAACAGTGGACCCAGTACTAATCCTTGTGGCACACCGTTGTCTCTGAGCGTAGATAGTGAATAGAAAATATCTAGACGGTGAGCAGATGACTGGGCACTATTCACGAGATTGCCACTAAGAAGGATCATGTAATGTGTGGGACTGTAGGAATCCCCATTCTACATTGAGAATTAAATGTAGGCTTCCAGTTGGTATTAGCAGAGAACCCAGTCACGAATTTTTCAATCAATATATTGAGGTTAGGGAGCTTGTTTGATATTCCATTTCGAGTTCAGTTGATTAATGTTAAGTTAAAAGCTAGTCCTTCATGATCACTGTCATCAATTGATATTCAAGCTCATCTGGTTCAATAATGGCCTTCAGGGAAGGAAATCTGCCATCCTTACCTGGTCTGACCTACATGTGACTCCAGACCCACAGCAATGTGGGAGACTCTTAACTGAAGTGTCTGAGCCAGCCATTCCTTAAGGGTCACGAGGTTTGGGAAACAGATGGTGACCTTTCCAGAGACACCCAGTTCCATGAAAGAAACCGAACTGAATGACTCGCGTGGAACAGTAGACACTTGATGGGCTGAATGGTCTGTTTCTGTCCTGTCAGATTCTGAGTAGCAGTTTATTTTAACGAACTTCAACTTTTTTTGTCTCTTGATTTTAGGGAAACCCAGGACCCATGGCACCGAAAGGTGAGTATGATCGTTTTTGTGGGGTTCATCTGTGTTTTACACCCGTTATTTAAAGAAAAATGTTAATGATTCTTATTGTCTGAAACTGGACTTTGCTGTTGCTGTCGTTACCCTTTTGCCTGTTGTATTCTCCTAGCGTCTGCTCTCTGACCACGTCACCCAGTGTGACTGCTCCCATACAGGGCCTGACTATGCCAATAACAAAAATTGAGATCTTGCTAGGCTGAACTTTAAACTATTGAAAATACCACGAGCCGATAGAGAAATAAAGAGGTTAGAATGCTGACGTTGGTCATCTGTGAGTCAGCGAAGTTTAAGGCCAGATTTGATGGAGATGTCATTCCGGCCTTGTGTTACTACTTCATGGCTACGGCAGCCGTGTTTCCATCTGCCTGAACCTCTGCAGTTCCTTCTATGAACCCTTCCAGCTTCGTTTAAAAATTAGTGCTTTCACCAGGCTTTGGGACACCTGTCCTATTATTCCTTCCAAAACCATAGTTTCCTGGCAACGCTCCTGCGAAGCATAACGCCAGAAGAAATAGGCACAGGAATGGGCCATTCAGGCCCAGCATTCAATCAACAGGAGCATGGCTGATGGGATATTTCTCACATCCATTTTCTTGCCTTTTTCCTGTAACCCTTGATTCCCCGACTGATCAAGAATCTATCTGAGCCTTGAACATAGGCAAGGACTCTGCCCCCACAGCTCTCTGTGGAAAGGATTTCCAACGACGCTCAACCCCCTAAGAGATGAAATCCCTTCTTATCTCAGTTTTAAATTGGTGCCCCTTTATTCTGACACTACGTCCTCTGTTCCTAGACTCTTCCATGAGGGGAAACATCCTCTCAGCATTTACCATGTCAAGCCCTTTAAGAATCGTACATATTTCAATGAGTTTGCCTCTGACTCTTCTAAATTCCAGTGGGTAGAGTCCCAACCCAGTGTTCGTAAGACAATCCCTCCACACAAAGTATCATCATAGTGAATCTTTTCTGAACTGCTTTGGACAAAGTAATATATTTTCTGCTCAGATGTAGTCTCACCAGCACCTTGTACAATTGCAGTGAGACTTCCTTGCTGTTATACTCTAACCCCCTTTAAAATAAGGGCCAACATTGCATTAGCCTTCCTGATTACCTGCTGCCCCTGTGTGATAGCTTTGTGTGTCTCGTGCAGTTTGGGATGTCTCAGTATGCTATATAATTGTAAGTCATCATTGTTCTCAATTCAGAACACTCAATAAGACAAAAAAGTAACTTGAGGGTAACGGGTAAAAACAAGAATTGATTCCTTAGACCCTATGAAGGTGATAGTTATGCCTCAGTTTTGCCTCTTGAATCAGGAGATCATGAGTGCAAGTCCAACTCTTATGCCTGTAATTTATTTCAGTGCAGTATCGAGGGAGTGCCTTATTATCAGAGGTCTGGTTATTCACACGAGACCTTCTATAGGAAGGATAGTTGTAAGCTGGAGAAGGTTCAGAAAAGATTTGCCAGGATGTTGCTGGGACTGGAGAGACTGAGTTATAAGGAAAGGCTGGGACTTTTTTCCCTGGAGCATCGGAGGCTGAGGGTGACCTTTATACAGGTTTATAAAATCATGAGGGGTATACACAAGGTCATGGTTTCATTTGCTTTATTGTACCCAAGTACAGTGAAGAGTTTTGTTTGCGAGCAGTACAGGCAGATCATAGCAAACAAGGATATACAGATCATGGGGTGCTTAGACAGAGCAAGGCATACAAGGTTACACTGCACAGGAGATGCACAAAGCAATGTTAACATTATTTAAAGTCAGGGAATCCATTCATCAGTCTGATAACAGCGGGGAAGAAGCTGTTCCTGAACCTGCTGGTGTGTGTGTTCAGGTTTCTGTATCTTCTGCCTGATGGAAGAGGTTGTAGGAGGTCATCACCGGGGTGCGATGGGTCTTTGATGTTGGCAGCCTTTCCGCGGCAGCGAGCCATGTAAATGGAGTCTATGGATGGAAGGTTGGCTTTCGTGATGGTCTGGGCTGTGCACACCCCCTTCTGTAGTTTCTTACGTTCCTGGGCAGAGCAGTTACCATACCAGGCCGTTAGGCACCTGGACAGTATACTTTCTATGGTGCATCTGTAGAAGTTGGTAAGGGACCTTATGGTCATGCCAAATTTCCTGAGCCACCTGAGGAAGAAGAGGCGTTGTTGTGCCTTCTTATTTGTCACATTTATGTGGGAAGTCCAGGACAGGTTGTTGGGTATCGTCACTGTAAGGAACTTGAAGCTGTCAACCCCCTCAACCTCCGCTCTGTTGATGCTGATGGGGGCGTGTCCTCCTCCTTTCTTTCTGAAGTCCATGATCAGTTCTTTAGTTTTGCCGGCATTGAGAGAGGGGAGGTTTTTCACTAGGATAGGGGTGTTCAAAACTAGAGGGCATAATTTTAAGGTGAGAGCAGAAAGGTTTAAAAGGGACCTGAGGGGCAACATTTTCAGACAGAGGGTGGTTCATATGTGGAATTAGCTCCAGAAGAAGTGGTAGATACAGGGGCAGTTACAACAGTTAAAAGACGTTTGGACAGATGCATGAATAGGAAAGGTTTGGAGGGATACAGGCAAAATGCACACAAATGGGACTGGTTTAGTTTGGGAAATTTGGTCAGCATGGACGTGTTGGAACGAAGGGTCTGTTTCTGTGCTGTATGACTCGATGACTTTAAACTGCAGTACTATCTTCCAGGAGATAGCAAGAACTGCAGGTGCTGGAGGCAGTCAATACAGTTACATCAGCTTTCCTGCTCCTCTACTGCTGCCTAACCTGCTGTGTTCCTCCAGCTCCACACTGTATTGAGCACTGTCTTCCATCTCTGGCTAAGATGTAAATAGTGCAGCATGTGACGATAAGCTTGTGCATTCGCAATAGTGTTGTCATCTTCATGGTGCCCCCTCATAAACCCATCATACTCTGAGATGACGGCATAATGTCACTGGAATAGAAACTCATGTGGACGTGAATTCGAATTCTAGCACGGCACGAGTGGCATTTAAAGTCGAGTGAACAAAATCTGGAATTGAAAGCCATCTCTGTAACAGTGTCCATTAACCGGTGAGTCGCAAATACCCTCTAGGGAGGTAAATATGCTGCCTCTAGCACACTGCCTTGTGGGGGAGTCTTATGTGCCCTTCGAAAGAGCCAAGCAAACTGCTTAGTTCAAGGAAACTGGGGATAGAGCAACACATACTGGCCTTGCCAGTGCTATACACATGGCTTCCCCCTCAAACAACTAAAATAAAGAATCCATTTTTGATTCTGAATGACATTATACTGCAATGGACTGTAATTGCAGCACTGCAGTCATCCAGCACCATTCTCTGAAGACTAAACCTCAAACTAAGTTATTAAAACTGTAGCCTATTATTTGCAGCATTGTACTTGCCCTGAATATAAAGTAAATGTTGTTTGCGTCATCCAGAGCTCAACATAAGCAAGAGGAACAAGATCTCCTACTTTGGCTGAACCCTTTACAACATTTGGGACTCCACGCTGGGCTCAGTAGTTTTGATGTGGAGGTGCCGGTGTTGGACTGGGCTGGACAAAGTCAGAAATCACATGACACCAGGTTATAGTCCAAAAGGTTTATTTAAAATCATAAGCTTTCGGACTATAACTTGGTGTCATGTGACTTCTGATTTTATCAATACGTTTAGATCACAAACCCCCCTTCCTGCCTTTAGTTTACGTGTTCATTTCTTTTTCCCTCACTTCATTTCTTTTAGCACTGCCTTTTTCATTTTTCACAACAAATTGTAGTCATTTTGTCTCTCCTGCCACCTGCCCTATTGCAGACCCTCCCCATTGTACATGTTCCCAGATCTTTCCCAGATTCTGACAGAAGGTGTCAGACTCTGTGGTTTTCTCTCCTCGGAAACGGACTGACATTTCTCCTGTGTTTTTCTATTTTCACACGAGCCAAATACTGCGGCTGCTGGGAAATCTTCAAACGCACGCGGAGAACACTGGAGAAAGTCAGCAGGCCTGGCCGCCACTGTGGAGAGAGAGAGAGAAAGTTAGCATGTCAGGCCTTCCATCAGAATTACCATTGGAGTACTGTGAGGGACTTCTTGATTATCCACCAACTCCTGTTTGGTGAGAAGGTTGACTCAATTGATCCCGAGTCTGGAGCGATTCTCTTACGAGGAGAGAGTGAGCAGTTTGCGCCTGTATTCAGTGGAGTTTAGAAGCATGAGAGGCAATCTTATTGGAAGATTCTTAGGGGACTTGACAGAGATAGATGCAGAGAGATTGTTTCCCTTTGTGGGAGAGATTAGTACCAGAAGGTGTAATCTCAGCGTGAGGGGTTACATACTTAGGCAGGAATTTCTTCTCTGAGGGTAGTGATTGTGTGGAATTCCTTACCACAGAGGGCTGTCAAAATTGGCTGAGATAGATAGGTAGACTTTTGATCACTAAGGGGAATTGAGGGTTATGGGGAAAAGGCAGGAAAGTGGAGTTGAGGATTATCGGATCAGCCATGATCTCATTGAATGGTGGAGTGAAACATGGAAACATAGAGGATAGGAGAAGGAGGAGGCCATTCAGCCCTTCAAGCCTGCTCCACCATTCATCACGATCGTGGCTGATCGTCCAACTCAAGAGCCTAATCCTGCTTTCTCCTCATAACCTTTGATCCCAAATGCTGTATCTAGAGAAGACTTGATGTGGGCTGAATGGCCTAGCTCTGCTCCGGCTAGGTGTTATGGCCAATGCAGTCAGTGGCTACATGGGGCAAGTATCCTTTCTTATCAAAGGTCCTGGGGCTCCACAGTGTTTTGCAATCGCAACTTTTGTTTTCCTTGAAACTGAATCATCCCCAATTGATCTCTTGAAGGATCCAAGACTCCTAAGCCCAAGTCTTGGGGCAGAAAGAAAACGGATGGAAATGGAAAGAAGACATCCACATCCGAGGTGAGGTTCCCTTTAAGACCAGAGAGCAAGTGGCTGACCTCAGCTGTATGAATGTGATGAGAGTTGGCACAAAATGTGATCTTACGCAAGTTACTCAGTAATCCGTGCGTGGTTAGAGGATGCTTGCTCAACTCCCTGAGGAAGGGAATGGGGATTTTCATTGTATTTTCTTTACATCCTTAAAGCTGTATCTCCTTTGCGCTTGATTGAAAACTGAATGACTTCTTTCTGCCTGCCTTTTTACTCAACGCATTTCAAAACTGAAAAATTCTAATGAAGAGATTTACCATTTCCTATCCCTAGGACTCTCTGGAATTTTTTCTCCTTCACCTTTTTTTTTTCTGGATTCCCAGCTGTGTGTGGAGGTATTTGGAGGGGGAAATGGGAAATCTGGATAGTGCGCTGTTCAAAGTATCACCACTTTTTATCAACCACTGCAGCTTTTAGAATGTAGAACAGTACAACACAGAAATGGGCCCACGATGTTGTGCCAAACCTGATGCCACATTAAACTAATCCCTTCTGCCTGCCCTTGGTCCACATCCCTCCATTCCTTGCGTATTCATGTGCTTATCGAAAAGCCCCTTAAACTCCTCTATTATATTTGCCGCCATCACCATCCCTGGCAAAGCGTTCCACACTCCTACCACACTCTGTGTAAAAAAAGTTGCCCTTCATATCTCCTTTGAACTTACCCTCTCCCACCTTAAGTGCATGCCCCCTACTATTAGACATTTCAACTCTGGGGAAGAAAGATTCTCACCGTCAACCCTATCTATACAGCTTAGATTTCTATCAAGTCTCCTCTCAGCCTCCAGAGAAAACAACTTGAGTTTTTCTAGCCTCTCTTTATAGCTCATACCCTCTAAACCAGGCAGCATCCTGGTTAAATCTCTTCTGCACCCTCTCCAAAGCCTCCACATCCTTCCTGTAATGTGGCGACCAGAATTGAACGCAATATTCTAAGTGTGGCCTAACCAAAGCCTTATAAAGGTGCAGCATGGCATCCTGACTCTTGTACTCAATTCCCCGACCAATTAAAGGCAAGCATGCCAATACGCCTTCTATACCACCCCATCTACTTGCGTGGCCACTTTCAGGGAGCTGTGGTCTTTATTAGAAAGCATTTGGGATGTGGGAAGTCCTACAGAAATGGAAGTGTTTTTATCTTACGAAGAAAGAAGTTGTCAGTGCTGGGCATCAGGATTAAGCGTTGACTTTTGAATCTTAGGGAAGTGAAACTTGATGGTGAGGATCTGAGATTGAACTGGCTTTCCGAATCAAACTCTCTATTTTACACATTTGTGGAAAAGTCAGATTTTTAAAACCAGTTTGTTTCAGGCTCAATGTCTGGGCTTTTTGAGCAATTTTGAATGGCTGAGATGCCCTCTGGTGGATGTGAGCCCTGTGGCATCATGAAATGAATTTGAGCCTTTTAGTATTGTAAAATAAACCCAGTAGTTTGTCCAGTATTCTGAGCCACGTGGTAATGCAATGAAATCTTAGCCTGCTGTTACATTTCAATTAGAATTTCCAGAAATATTCTTCCTTAGCTGCATGTTTGAGTGACATTAGCAAGTCTAACTTTACTATAGTACTATGCAAAGTTCCAACAATATTTTCTCCCTTTTCTTAAAATAAAGGGAAACTAACCAATGTTTATAATCTCAGCTACCAATTTCTGCCTCGCTGCATCTCGTGACACATGGTAGCTGAAGGACATTTTTTATCGTCTGTTTTCTGGAGCTCATTTTCACTGGAATGGGTCACAAATCGAGAGTGAGATGGAATATTCTCCACTTGTTGGTTTGAATTGAATAGAATTAGCTTTATTGTCACGTGTACTCCAATGAGCACAGCGAAAAGTTGACAAGTCGCCACTTATGGCATTATTTTAGGTACAACGGTACCTAGCGACAGAATCTTGGCACAAAGCAGAAAAATAAAACAAGGTTAAATGTTAAGGCTCTTCTTACTTAAAAGTAGAAAAACAAAGAAACACAGTTTAAGATCACAGTCCATAAGTGATTGGCCATGCCGGGCTCTCACTCCTCACAAGGGTTTCACTTTCACCCCACCTCAAACTACCGACTGCTTCGGGCCTCCCGCTCCCGCTCTCGCCCCTGGATGCCTCCCGCTCTCGCCCCTGGATGCCTCCCGCTCCCGCTCCCGCTCCCGCCCCTGGATGCCTCCCGCTCCCGCTCCCGCCCCTGGCTGCCTCCCGCTCCCGCTCTCGCCCCTGGCTGCCTCCCGCTCCCGCTCTTGCCCCTGGCTGCCTCCTGCTCTCGTCCCAGGCCTCCCGCTCTTGCTCTCGCTCCTGGCTGCCTCCCACTCCCACTGTTGCCCCGGGCGTCCCGCTCCCGCTCTCGCTCCTGGCTGCCTCCCGCTCCCGGTCTCGCCCCGGGCCTCCCTCCAGCTGCCCGTTTTCTAATTTGATGGGGAGATAGGTGCTGGTTCCAGTTGGAGCTCTAGCCAATCTAGAGGGACAGGCTGATGTATCTTGGAGGATTGTTGAGTTGGGGGAGCGGGGGGAAGATTACAGGTAAAGAGGGGGCAAGGCCACAGGGGGAATGAGGATGAGACTTTTTTAAAAATGGCCCAGCTTCAACAACACTTGAGAAGCTCCAGGTGAAAGCAGCCGTTTCGTTAGCACCTTGAACGTTCTCTCCCTGCACAACAAATGCACAGTGTGCGCCATCTGCAAGATGCCCGGGCCTCCCGCTCCCTAAGGCTGGCTTGGCAGCACTTTCCAAACCTACAGTCCCTATCACCTTGAAAAACGAGGGAATCAGATGTAACAGAAACACTGCCAATTGCAAGTTCCACTCTAAATCACACACGGTCCTGACATGGAAATGTGTCACTGTTCCTTTGGTGTTGTTGGGTCAAAATCCTGGAACTCCCTCCTTTAAAAGTACTTTGGGTACTGGTCCGACAGCACCTGGACTGCCGCGATTCAAGAAGGTATGGCATTTTGGCAAAACAAACAAAGACAAGTAGGGCCTTGGGTAGTGTGGTAGAACAGAGAGACCTAGAGGTTCAGGGACATAATTCATTGAAGATTACGTCACACATAGATAGTGTGATTAAGAAGGCATTTAGCACGCTAGCCTTCATTGCTCTGTGTTACAGTACCAACCGCTACGGGCATGTGGTGGGAAAACATGCTGTCAAGAATCCTCCTTTCTCCTATTTTAAAGAAACCAGTGATCCAATTTAAGGCACATTAGGATTGACAGTCTCCTCAGAGGCAATGTCACAGAAAACCAAACTTTAGAAGAAAATGTATCAATTTATATGAAAATTTCACTTTGAGGAGGGACGATACATCCCAGCCCCCATGGTGCCCACTGATCGAAGCCAGAGGCTTTAGCTTTGAGTCCATGGCAAATGTTGTTGTCTCAGAGTCTCTCCCTCTCTTACTACCTGCCGTGGATATGTGTCAGAAGGATTTACGGCTTAAAAGTCAACTTGTTTCACTCCATTATGAAAGCAGCTTCTTCAGCTTTTAACTACTCGAGGGTCATAGTCATGCAGCACGGAAACAGACCCTTCGGTCCAACAAGTCCATGCCGGCCATTATCCCAAACTAAACCAGTCCCACCTGCCTGTGCTTGGCCCATATCCCTCCAAACCTTTCTTATTCATGTACTTATCCAAACATTGTAACTGTACCCACATCCACCACTTCCTCTGGCAGTTCATCCCACACACGAACCACTCTCTGTGTTAATAAAAAAAGCCCCTCATGTCTTTTTTAAATCTTTCTCCTGTCACCTTAAAAATGTGTCCCCTATTCTTGAAATCCCCCACCCTAGGGAAAAGACACCTGCCATTTACCTTATCTATACCCCTCATTATTTTATAAACCTCGAGGAGATCACTTCTCAACCTCCTATGCTCCAGTGAAAAAAGTCCCAGCCTATCCAGCATCTCCTTATAACTCCATCCTTCCATTCCTGGTAAATCTCTTCTGAGCCCGCTCCAGCTTAATAATATCCTTCCTGTAACATGATGACCAGAACTGGACACAGTATTCCAGAAGACGCCTCAACACAACGTCCCAACTCTTATTTTCAAAGCCCTGAGCAAGAAGGCAAGAGTGCTAAATGCCTCCTTAACCACCCTATCTCTATGCGATGTAAACTTCAAAGGATTATGTACCTGAACCCCTAAGTCTCTCTTTTCTACAACATTGTCCAAGGCCCTACTTTTAATTGTATAAGTCTTTGTTTGTTTTACCAAAATGCAACACCTCACATTCCTTCAAATTAAACTCCATCTGCCACTCTGCAGCCCATTGACCCAATTGATCAAGATCTCTTTGTAACCTTAGATAACCTTCTTCTGTTTCCACTATACCACCAATCCTGGTGTTATCTGCAACCTATGAATCCTATTTTATATATTCTTATCTAAATCATTCACACAAATGACAAACAAAAGTGGACCCAGCGCCGATCCCTGTGGAAAACCAGTGGTCATGGGCCTCCAGTTCGAAAAACAACCTTCCACCCCCACTCTCTGTGTCCTGTTGTTAAGCCAATTTAGTATTGATTTGGCAAGCTCACCCTGAATCCCATGTGATCTACCTTTACTAATTAATGTGAAACCTCATCAATGGCTTTGTAAAGTCCAAGTATACAATGTCTACCACTCTGCCTTTGTCCATCCTCTTGGGTTACTTCCTCAAAAAACTCAGCCAAGTTTGTGAGGCACTATTTCCATCATACAAAACCATGCCGACCATCCCTAATCATTCCTTGCCTCTCTAAATGCATATCAATCCTACCTTTCAGAATCACTTCCAGTTTGGGATTATGGTCCGCACGGATTGGTTGGACTGAAGGGTCTGTTTCCGTGCTGGATGACTCTCTGACTCTGACTCAACTTGCCCACCATCGAAGCCAGACTCTCAAGTCTATAGTTCCCAGGCTTCTCCTTGCATCCCTTCTTAATCAAAGGCACAACATTAGCCACTCTCCCGTCATTCGGCACCTCACCCGTAGTTAAAGATGATGCAAATATTTCTGCAAAGGCCCCAACAATTTCCTCCCTAAGATCCCACAAAGTCCTAGGATACACTCAATAAGGTCCTGGAGATTCATCCACCTTTATATTTTCTAACACCTCCAGCATTTGCTCTTCTGTAATGTGAACTGTTTTCGAAACATTGACACTTATTTCCCTGAGTTCTGTAGCCTCCATTTCTTTCTGTACTGTAAAAACTGGCCCTAGATTCTTCTAACAATTGTAACACAAGATTTAAAACAATGGTTTTAAGTCCACGTAGCCTTTGGTTCTGAAATTGCTGAGGGAGACTTTATACAAGATTCAATGAAAAATTGCCTTTTTTTTGTTGACAATTGTCAGAACCTATGAAGTTGGTGTTTGAGCAATTGACTCTTGCGTGAATGTCAATGCAGTATTCCTGTTTTTCAATCCTGGCATGTCTGATCAGAGGGATCCCGTATGTGTCTCGGTATGTATGGGGAATGGGTGACTTCATCTTGTATTTGAGGTTTCTGGTTTGGATTCTACAAATATTTCACACTGCTCAAACCAAGCTATTGAATGCTAATGGCTCCCAGATACTGTTCAAATGGAGCCAGATTCATTATCAAAACATAAAGCTGCCACATATTTGTAAGTTTTTGTTTTAAACTCCCAAAAAAATCTCAGTAGCTCGTGAAAGTTTATTTAACTCTCTGGTCTCTTTTGCGCTGTTGAAAATTTAATGCAGTCTTTTTAACTCGTTTTTAAAATTCGTTCTTGAGACATTGCTACCATTTGCAAGGTTGATGTTTGTTGCCTGGTTTCTTAGCATCATTAACACTGCTGGAGTTATGGGATAGGGGCACTGTGGATTGGAAGCAGCGTAGAAAGTAGAGTCTGGTGTTTCGTGGTCGCTTTCAAGAGGGCAGAGAGTCAACCTAACCCTACCATAGTCATAGGGTCAGAGAGATGTGCAGCATGGAAACAGACCCTTCAGTCCAACTCGTCCATGCTGACCAGATATCCTAAATTAAATCTAGTCCCATTTGCCAGCATTTGGTCCATATCCCTCGAAACCCTTCCTATTCATGTACCCATCCAGGTGCCTTTTAAATGTTGTAATTGTACCAGCCTCCACCACTTCCTCTGACATCTCGTTCCATACACACACCACCCTCTGTGTGAAAAAGTTGCCCATTAGCTCCTTTTTAAATCTTCCTCCTCTCACCCAGTTTTGGGCTCCCCTGCTCTAAGGGAAGAAAAAAGACCTTGACTATTCACCCTATCCATGCCCCTCATGATTTTATAAACCACTATAAGGTCCCTCCTCAGCCTTCAACGCTCCAGGGCAAATAGCCCCAGCCTATTCCGCCTCTCCCTACAGTTCTGGCAACATCCTCATAAATCTTTTCAGAATCTTTTTAGGTTTAATATCTTTTCTTTAGCAGGGAAATCAGAATTGAAGGCAGTATTCCAGAAGTGACCTAATCAATGTTATTAGTTGTATCAGCAATGTTCTTTTGGAACACCATAATTTCCTGGACCTGAACTTGAGTATACAAGGTATATAGTCATAGAGTCATATGGAAACAGACCCTTAGGTCCAACTCATCCATGCCAAGTTTCCCAAACTAAACTAGTCCCATTTGCCTTCATTTGGTCCATATCCCTCTGAACCTTTCCAGTTCATGTACCAGTCCAAATGTCTTTTAAATGTTGTAACTATACCTGCATCAAATTTGCGGATGACACAAAACGCAAACATAGTGAAAAACAAGGAACTCATAACAGTCTTTCGAAGGATGTAGACAAACTGGGCATCTGGGCACAATGCTAAAATAAAACAAAGAACTGCTGGCAGTCGGAAATAAAACTCAGCAGTTCTGGCAGCACCTGTGGAGAGAGAAGCAGAGCTAACATTGTGAGTCCAGTGACTAAATTCTGAAGAAGGCTCACTGGATTTGAAACGTTAGCTTTGTTTTTATCTCCACAGATGCTGCCAGACCTGGAGAGCTTTTCCAACAATTTCTTATTTCGTTGAGGCACAATTCTAAACCAGAAGGCAGCAAGCCAAGAAATCTGAAAGTGCCAACACAATCTCTGAAAATAGCAGGGTCAGTGGAGAGAACTATTTATTTTAACAAAACAGAAAAACAAAGTCCTAAGGAAAGAACCTTCAGGAAATGCTGGTTTAGACTCGGCTCGAGTATTGAGCAGCACGTTTGATGAAGGGTGTTGACACCTGGGAAAAGGTGCAGGAAAGAACGTTGGGCATAGTAAACAGGATTCGGGGATGTCCGTTATTCCGAGAGTCTGGGGAACCTGGGATTGTTCTCCACCAAGCGCAGAAGGTTAAAGGGGAGATTGAACAAAGGACAAAGAAAATTACAGCACAGGAACAGGCCCTTCAGCCCTCCAAGCCTGCGCCAATCCAGATCCTCTATCTAAACTTATCGCCTATTTTCCAAGGATCTATATTCCTCTGCTCCCTGCCCATTCATGTATCTGTCTAGATCCATCTTAAATGACGCTATCGTGCCCGCCTCTACCACCTCCGCTGGCAACGTGTTCCAGGCACCCACCACCCTCTGCGTAAAGAACTTTCCATGCATATCTCCCTTAAACTTTTCCCCTCTCACCTTGAAATTGTGACCCCTAGTAATTGAGTCCCCCAATCTGGGAAAAAGCTTCTGGCTATCCACCCTGTCTATACCTCTCATGATTTTGTAGACCTCAATCAGGTCCCCCCTCAACCTCCATCTTTCTAATGTAAATAATCCTAATCTACTCAACCTCTCTTCATAGCTAGCGCCCTCCATACCAGGCAACATCCTGGTGAACATCCTCTGCACCCTCTCCAAAGCATCCACATCCTTTTGGTAATGTGGCGACCAGAACTGTACACAGTATTCCAAATGTGGTCGAACCAAAGTCCTATACAACTGTAACATGACCTGCCAACTCTTGTACTCAATACCCCGTCCAATGAATGAAAGCATGCCGTATGGCTTCTTGACCACTCTATCGACCTGCGTTGCCACCTTCAGGGTACAGTGGACCTGAACACCCAGATCTCTCTGTGCATCAGTTTTCCCCAGGGCTTGAGAAGAGTTTCGATCGGAGTTGAGGTGAAAACTGTTTCTAATGGTAGAGGATTTTGTAACCGTGCAGATGTAAGGGGATTTGCAAATCCGAGACAACCTGAACAGAATGTGTTTGACCCAGATCTTAAATGCGCTGCCTGAGAGGGTAGTGGGAGTTGATTTAGTTGTAACTTTGGAAAGTCGATACTTATAGAATCACACAACATGGAAACGGACCATTCAATCCAAACGGTCCACGCCGACCAAAATCCCAAATGTCTTTTTAAACGTTGTAACTGTACCTGCATCCATCACTTCCCCTGGACATTCATTCCACACACAAACCACTCTCCATGTGTAAAAAAAACATTCCCCTTCATGTCTTTTTTAAGTCTTTCTCCTCTCACCTTAGAAATATGCTCCCCAGTCTTAAAATCTCCCACCCTAGGGAAAAAACACCAGCCCTTCACCTTATCTATACCCCTCATGATTTTATAAGTCTCTGTAAGGTCACCTCTCAATCTCCTACACTTGAGTGAAAAACGTCCCAGCCTATCCACCCTTTCCCGATAATTCAAACCCTCCATTCCTGGCTATGTCCTGGAAAAGAAATCACAGGGCTGTGGGAAAGAATGGGATTAATTGGATAATCTACCAAAGAGCAGGTATGGATAAGATGGACCAAATGGTCCCCCTTGTGTCGGATTATTCATATCTAGTTGTCCCTGGTGAGCCATTGTCTTGAATTACTGCAGTCCATGTAGTGTAGGCACACCCAAAATGTTAATAAATAACTGCATTTCATAGGAGAGAGAAATGATGCTGCACTTTTGGAATGGGATCATTCTGTGCATGGATTACTGCTGCACCTCCAACATTTTGTACATTTAATAATGCTGAAATACACTTTGGGACATGCAGTGTGCTTTAGAAGTTTTATTTGTCAACGAGCAGTAATAGCTAGTCATTTATAAACACAAGTCTGGCAATGTCTGTAAAACAAGAAAAATAGTTAATGCTTTGAGTCCAGAATGAATCTTCTTCAAAAGACTTGTCTTCAGTGCTCGAGACATTAACTCTGTTTCTCCATCTCTCTCTCTCCACAGATGCTGCCAGACCTGCTGAGTTTCTCCAGCATTTTCTGTTTCAGCTCAGATTTCCAGCAACCGCGGCATTTTCGTTTCAATCCACCATTCAGCGCAGTTTTTGTTTCGTCGATAGGATTCCGACTCGAGCAAAGGGAAGGTGAAATCGGAGCAGCGGAAAACTCGCAAGGTCCCCACGGATCGTTCCCAGAGGAGGGGCCGGAGCTCCAGAGTGGATAGGGGGCAGGCTGCCGAGATGGTAGAGGCTGGCAAGGGAACTAGGAAAATGGCTGCTCGGCGTGGGAAGAAATCGGTGGCCAAACCATCACCTCCCACGGAGGCTGTGACAGGTAATGAGGCAAACTCTCAGCTGTCGGATGAAGAAGTAGGATTGAGCAAGTATGGAAGGATAGTCAGAATCAGTGGGCAACTAGATTTTCCACAGAAACTTTAGCATACCAATGCGAGAGATTAAACTGGAGTTTGTTTTCATTCATGCGTGCGATGAGGGCGTCACTGGCCAAGCCAGCGTTTATTGCCCATCCCTAATTGCACAGAGGGCAGTTCAGAGTCAACCACATTGCTGTGGGTCTGGAGTCACGTGTAGGCCCGACCAGGTGAGGATGGCAGTTTCCTTCCCTATAGGATATTAATGAACCAGATGGGTTTTTCCCGACAATCGATAGTGGATTCATGGTTTAGACCCTTAATTCCAGATGTTTTCAAGTTTGAATTCAGATTCCAACCACCTGCCATGGCAGGATTTGAACCTGGCTCCCCAGAATATTGTCTGGGTGTCCAAGTTAACAGTCCAGCGATAGTACCACTAGGCTATCCCCTTCCCTAAATTTCAAAACCAAAGTATCAAATCGCCCTAAAATGGATATAAATCTGTGAAAATGCCACAGTTAAGTTTGTACAAAATACCAGTGAAATAACTCCACAGAGGTTGGTATCCCATCACAAGTCCCTCTTTATTTACACATTGGGGGGCCCCTGACGGTGGTCCAGCTTTCTCAGAACCAGCTCTCGGAGTGAGCAGAACCTCAGACACTCCTCTTTGTATCTGTCAGCCAGGGCTCCCTGATTGGGCCAGGTTAACAGCCCCAATCAGGGGACTTGTATTCTGTGAGGTCCAGCTGGCTGACCTTGTTACAATCACTATAACCATGACACATGCAGTTTGTGCAAATAACTCCCTCCAGCACCAAGGCTTGTTCGAAGTGAGCTTTCATTATTCTACATTTTGATTATTTAAAAGTGTTTTTGACTTTTTTTTTAAATTTTACTAGCCTACTGAGGAGCTCAGTAGCTTTCATCCTTTCATCTCTGGAGAGTAAGAAGGGCTGGTTTCTGCTTCATACTGGAACATAGGAGCAGGAAAAGGCCATTTAGCCCCTCTGAGCTGCTTCACCATTTATTACCTTGTAGCTAATCTTCTGACTCAGCCGTTTATGGCACAGAGGATTCCATTCACCCCATTGCGTTTGCACTGGTCAGCAAAGATTGGACTACGCTGATCCCATTTTTCAGTTGTTGGCCCATCGCCCTGGAATCTTCAGCAATGGAAGTGAATTTCTAAAGACTGCTGAAGTGTTACGAGAGTTTCTGATCCAACTTTCCTTTCAGGCAGTGACTCCCCTCACCCTCCGAGCGAAAAGCCTCCACCTCACATCTCGTCCTAGCCTCCTGCCTCTCACCTCAAACCTGTATGCCCCCTGGTTATTGATTTCTCTAGTGATGGACAAGGTGCGTTTAATGTCTACCTCAAAGCCAGGTTTCCACATTTCTGATTGGAATTAAAGTCTTCTCCCTGGACGTGAGGTTTGCCGCACTGATATATTTATTCAATGTGCTCTGACTTCCTTCCCACAAAGAATTGTTTCATTTCTTTTTGGCCAAGTCTCTGGTTTGTTCATATTTATGTCAGAGCCCAGTTCAAGATTGCTCTAGAGCTAATGGTGGTACAGTGGTCAAACTGGATTAGCGTCCTAGTGGCTGAGACTAATCCTCTGGGACTTTGGTTCAAATCCTTCTAAGGCAGCTGGTGGTGGCATTTAAATTTAATTAATAAAATGTGGAATCAGTGACAACTAGGCAGAATCGACATGTCGGGCCGAAGGGTCTGTTTCCATGCTGTAAACCTCTATCGCTCCATTGTGTGAATTCACTGTTCTCTCTCTCTCTTTTTGCAGATTCTGAAAGCCTGAACAAACAACAAATGAAATCTAGAACCAAATCGAGGAAGCGGGCAACAAACGCTCTTGTAAAATCTGAATCTTTGGATTAGAGCGGTTTTTGCAGAGCTATCGGCAAGCAGATCAGGAGCTACTTTGCACAATTGCATCTGTTGGGTTACATTCCCAAGGAGATGACAATTCCTGATTTCTACCCATCCACTGCTCCCCGCCCACCCTTTGGACTACATAGTGTGAACCTCGTTAAGCAATAAGTGGTTTTTTAAAATTATATTCTATTTTTTAAATGTATGTCTAGTTGTTTTTTTAACTGGAATAAATTCTCAGCCATGTTTTAATTAAAAAGAGTGGCCACATTTCTAAAGTGAATAAGCCAAAAAAATTGTCACTAACAGTGTAAGGAGTTTATCAGAACTTGGGTATATCTTAGAAAAATGACTGGATGGTTTATTGTAAAGGGAACGGAATGTAAAATAAAGAAGCGTTATTGCAACTGTGTAGAAGAAGAAATAGGAGCAGGATTAGTCCAATTGGGCCCATCAAGGCTGCCCTATCATTCTATAAGATTGTGGTTAGCCTGCCCTGAGCCTAAACTTTTTTGTGCCATCAACTAGAACATAGAACAGTACAGCACAGTACAGGCCCTTCGGCCCACAATGTTGTGCTGACCTATTATCCTACTAAGATCAATCTACCCTGCGTACCCTACATTTTACTATCCTCCATGTGCCTATCCAAGAGTCGCATAAAAATCTCTAAAGTATCTGACTCCACTACCACTGC